TGTTGAGTGGAGACATGTGCAACAGCCCTCCTGCACTTCTATTCAACTGCTTCCTTTTTTCCAAAAAAAATGCAGTAGGGGAAGTACTTTTTGCTTTCTCTGCCCAGTTATACGTGACTAAATTCTGCTAACAAAGAAGTCTGCGGTGAGCCACCTCAGATAGGTTTTTACGTTACTCGTGACACTCTCATAAGTTTAGAATCTGGTATCTGAAAGAATTTTGTGGCAAATAAATTCTCATCAAAAAATTAATTTTAGTTAAGAAGTAAAACAGCATTACCGAAAGAAGCTTGCATCAATTGGGATTTGAATAGAGGATGTTAGTAAATTCTTATAGTCGTGTCGGTGATGACGAAAGACGACGCCATCCTGCTGGATCTCACGCCACTATCACCGACAATGTTTTGCATGATGAGTCGCTGAGTGATGAAGAAACCGATGTGGGTGATGGTCGCAAGAAACGTCTTCGTACGAGACGTGAGCGAAATGGTGGCAGGTTTGTGTTTCCCTCTTATTCTTTTTTTTTTGCTGGGGTTGGGAGACAAGACTCACGTATTGTAGCACTTTTCCTTTTTTTTTGCGCTTAGGTTCAGTCATTTTACAAAGAATAAGTTGTTACTGGATAGTGGCTGAGTTTAGCTTTTACTTTGCCTTGTGGATTCAATGCGTAATTTCCACAATATGGCTAATTATCAGAGTGGTCTTTATGTCCAACACTATTTTGGCAAAATATAGCGTTCCCTCTCAGCTTTCCCGCATCTACAATACGGGATAATCTCATTTATGGCTTAAAATCGGTGATTATTATTTCGTAATTCTTTGTTTTAGCAGTACAAGCCTTAGAAAAACGTCACCAACACTATGAATGATTTGTGAGATGGACTTGAAGTCACCGCTGAGTTTTTTTTTTAACGTCGAAGTCCTTAATTTTATTCAATTGTCCCCTCTAAGGTAGCACATTGGTTGATTAAGTAAAATGCGATTGGTATGAGCAGTGTTCGATCTTTTGCCTTACTTTATTTGCTTGGTTTTGCATCGGTAGCTTTTTCAATACTATTTTTTTCCATCTCAATAACAAAAATGTTTGTGAGAAGATGATGTTTTTGCTCTGGGCGGGTTTATAATTAATTGTTAATAACTTTTCGTAGTTATCCAGGTAAATCTGTGTCTTTAGCAGCACACTGTAGCATTTACTCATCAACACCTTATGGGACCTTGCTAGTACATAAGCTAAACTCAATGCTCAGCCATGAATTACTCGATGTTTTCGCTCCTTTCTTAACCTTTTATTTAAAAAATATGCAAAACCAAAGTACGAGAATGATCATATTCTACTATAAGAATATGATCATCTCTCCTCTGATCATATTCTTATCACTTCATCTTGCTTCAGATATTGTTGCAGATCACAGTACTAGCGCTTTCAAGTAGAGAAAATTAGACTTTTTGAAATTAGAGAAAGTGTGATGGCATTAGGAAAACGAAATTTTTAGATCAACATGGTACTTTTGTCTGATTCCAGAAAAGTTACTGTTCAAGTCATTATCGTAATCCATTCATATGTGTTTTTCAGATCACATTCTCGTGACCCACCAACGGAAGGTGACGGAGGCTTCCCTACTTCATTTGGAAATCTCCCTGTCTAGCTGTAGTACACGGGCGCGTAAAGCACTTTCTTGAATACGGTGTATTCCCGCATAGGAGCCAATACGTTGGTATCATGTCTTCGTTTTTGATTTTTCAATTCGCTGGGTATATTATTGCATGTACTTCATTGAAATGTGTGCTTCATTCTGCCGCCTCAACCCTCATTCACTTCCTAATTTTCCCCTCACGGTGGCTTTCGTCTACCTCGATATCTCTTCGTTACTCTTGCCTCCCCGCTTATCCTACTTCCCTTTGTAACTCTCTTCTGTTCTTAATTGCTTATGAATTGCCACAGTGCTTATTTTTTTTCCGCTTCATCTATATTCACGTACCTGTCTGTGCCTCGTTATGAGGCAATGGAGGCATTAACTTTGTGACGGTTATCCGTTTGATAACCAGAGTGATGGCTTGTTCCCAGTGAATTGGAGGATTCGTGTCATTTTCTGTGAGCTAGTCACACAATTATCTTCCAAAGCACATTTATTTGATTGTTCGTTCTGAATGTCTTCCCTATTTTGTTTTATGTGTTCGGCATAACTATTTAGAAGTTTTGGTCTCAAAGACACCCCTCGTGTATGCCTTAGAAGCGCCTTCGATGTACTTTTTTGGCATCTTGTGAGGTGATGAGGTAGTTGACCGACGCCCGTGAGGTCTTTCCGGCTTTAGTCGTGTACTATATTGTGTTTTCTCTGGGTACGTTCCTCCTTTGTGTCCCCCCATTTATGTTGTTTTTGAAAGATTTGTTGTCTATTTTTATGAGTGTCATGCATAAAGATGTTTATTAAAGCGAGCCAAGACGAGCAAGAAAGACAGGGTAATATGTAAATGATGAGATGTGAGGTGAAGGCTAAGTACAGGCAATGAAGGTGTGATGAAAAACAATATACACTTGAGCAGAAGTAATAATGAGGCTTTGCGTGGTCTTCCTTTCACGTATCGGTACTGAGATCCATAGACGTAATAATGCAGAACAACATGACTTTGTACTATTGAAACAACAGATATACAAGAGATTTTTGCCAAGAGGTCTTGATCGAACAGGCAGGTCTACGCTTCTAAAAAAGAAAGATTGAACTTTTACTTTTTTTTCGAAAAAGACAAACATGTTCAGAATAGCAAATAGTCTTCTACATCGAGCTTGTCATTAAAAGTGTAAGAAATGAAAAATGCAATTCATCAAAGAACTTCTGCCTAATTTGAGATGAAAAGCTCGAAGCGTCAAAAAAGCGGATGCATTGTACATGTAAGAGAGTGACTATGATGTCCAGCATTGTCTAATGTACAGCTGTAGCGTTAAAACATTGGAACAAAACTTTTGATTTATCTGCAATCGTAAAATCATAAAAATATTTGTTCCAAATGCCAATGTTCCAAAGTTTCTATAAGTAGCTTTTCTTGCATCAGAAATCTGAAATACTCAGGAGCTTAGTAGGTAGCGTATTGACTTAATTGAAATATTTAGAAGAGCACTGCCATAAAAAAGAAACTTTCGTAAATTATGAGAGTTTTGTCGTTATAAATTGCACTTCAATAGATCGATAGGACAGATGAAGGTTTATGTTTTTCCGATTCACAAAATAAACCTTAAATGCCTCAGGGGTTATTGTACTTTTCTGTCGAAAATAGCAGTATTCTTACATTCTTTTCAAAAGTATGTTTTGTCTGGAGTTTGCCATAATTTAGCCAACCACTGAAATGAACTTGATTTGAAAAGAGGGGATTTTTTATAAGTATCCACTGTTGGACACTCTCAACATTAATCATTCACTTGGCTAAAATTTAAATGAACCCACTGTTTGATTCTTCAAGTATGTACATAGGTAGCCCATCGCAGAATTTCCATCCTTCTGTTCCCGCAAAATGAGTACCTATAGCTTGCGACAGCGGCTCGGGTACTATTTCAAATTGCTGTCGATTTATATTCTAAAAAACAGCATCTTAATATTTGGAAAAAAAGAACCGGAACTTCTTTGCGATAAGTGAGGAGAATTTTTTTTTGCGATGAAATTGTTTTCACAATTAGGAGCTGATTATAAACGACAAAAAAAGGCAAATTGTGTTGGCTAGTACATCATTCTTATGCTAAAAGCCAAGTAAACGCTGTCTAATAACTACCTGTGCTAGAAGGCTCGGGAGGAGGTAGCAACGTTTTAAACCGGATAGTCTGACAACGATGACCCTCTGCAAAATATATTATAAATTCTTTTCATTGTATATGCGAGGTTGCCTCTATCGTTGACTTCGCCGCCAAAACTCGCTGCTCTCTTTTCTGCCATCGTAAGTTTCTTTTGACGTAAGCACAAAATTTTGATGAGTCATAACTCTTTCTCATGCGTATTTCTAAGTCCTAAT